CTTTTCCATCCGTTAATTCATTTCTGCCAATGAGGCAACTAAACATTGACTTTGTATCTTGAACATTTTTTTTCAATATTTTTCATCTTCGTAAGGAACTTATGTAATGTAAGTCACTAAATAAGCCCCGCCCCCTTTTGGTCTGTGATCCAATAACAGTTGAGCAAGCCTCAGTCAGAACCTTGCCAACTTTCTCCTTTCCTAAAGATGGGAACTTATATCTACTATCTGTATCTAATCTACATATTGGTCAGATTCTTTGTCGATTCCCTTATTGATTCCTGATCAATTGGAAGAAAAGCAGGTTATATCAGAAAGTCTGAACACAGTGTAGAAACAGTTTGAGTCTCTTTGTTTGCATTTCATCACTCCGTTTTGTTTTATGATGATAATAATGATGATGAAGTAATTTAGCTGTAAGCCTCACTGAGATAATTAAAAGTCCAAACAAAGATACATTAGCTGCACCGTAGATCCCTCGTTCCACCCGGAAAAACAGACGCATTGCACCAAATGTGCGCCGCAACAATGTCGCTTTCCATTTAAAATAACACATTTGAGCTCGCAAGAAACGCTACATCTGATTGGCCCTGAAGCTCGGTGGCATACGATTCTGATAGATCGGACAATTTGGAACTGGTTCTCAATTCCCATTCCTGTTCTTTCCTGTACTTAGACATGCTATGCTAAGTTAAAAGCAACATGTGTATATTCAAATCTTAAATGAGCTAATGTTAGTAAAATACTAGGTAATTTAGTAGAAGGTGATCTACATAGCTACTGAACAACAATTGATGCAAGCCAATAATTTCTATTTTTAATTGTAACAGACAACAGTTTCCTTGTTTTACATCCGTGACTCAGCTACATGAAATCTTTTACTGCCTAGGCCTTTTATTTTCTTTAAAAGTGAGTTGTGGAAGTGTTTTAGTGGCACTCAATGACTTCCATAGAATATAGAACAATAATTACAAAAATATAAGAAACAGAAGAAGAGAATAAATATTTAACCCAACTAAACTGAAGGGTTTTATTTCAGACTGAATATGTAGGCTCACACGTTGGAAACCACCTCGTGTTTAATTCTCCTGAAGACAAACTGTGAATAAAAGAGTGTGAGGGGAACCAGAGGCCCCTGCGCTGCTCTGTGGGAACAACAATGACTTTACTGTAATGAAATAATCTGTCAGGATTACAGCGGCCGACAGGAGCAGCAGGAGGGAAACACAACACAAACATGAAGCTGCTAATCACAGATAAGCTGTTCAAAAGGTCACTTTACTGTGAAACTGTGTCCCCGGCTCCATGTGGCCCCTCCACCATGATTTAGTCCAATTTTTAACAATTAGAAATTTGTTTTCCATCGTCAGCTGGAAAATGTCTCAGGGTTTCCCACCGGAGGAGGACTGTGGTGCATTCAAGGCCTGTCTTGCAAACTTGGAAAAACAACGTCTCTGGTTGCCAGACTGGTTCTCATAGACCCATTATTACAATATTTATCTTTTCAAAATGTCTGTTTGTTTTCCTTTAACTTGCCTTGTCACATGACTCATGTTTCCCACAATGTCTTTCAAAATATTGTACTAGGAGACCCTGTGTGTCAACGAACGTAATGTGTAACAAACAAACAAAGAAACAGTGAATAAAGGACGTATAGAACAGGAAGTTACAGTTTCATCACACAGTAAATGGGGCTTTGAAATCTCCTGCATATCTGAAACATTTTACCTCCTATTGAACTATTGTAAGACAGTTTGATCGCCTGTC